CTTTAAAATTTACACTTAATCTATTAATAAAGTTTATTGGAACAAGACTCCGTTGGATATAAAAAAAAAAAAAAAAAAAAATATTATTGTAAATTAACGGATGATATTTTTATATCTTTGTTATTAAATAAATCATAATATTTAATAAGGAATTTTTTTAAAAAAATTATAAAAATTGTGAATTAATGTATTAAAAATTTCAATTTCTAAATTTAGCATACAATATAACGTTTACTATTTATTTTAATGTAAAATTTAATGATATTTCTTGTCTCACGTGCAATGGGATACTTATTGATCTTTTTTTTTTGGATTATATCGATAATTTAAAAAAATACAAATAAAGAAAATCAAATACTTAGAATAAATAATTCTTTCATGTATAAATGTAATTTTGTGATGAATGGTTTATCCATTACAATATGTGACAATACTTATGTAATCAAATTTTTCATTCTGATTTTTCAAGCATCTGGTAAAATTTACTCATCTTCTTGTTAACAATGAGTTGTAGTTGAAATAATGGAAAAAACTTATTCCACACTGTCGAATAAAGATTAAATCAGTTTGAACGGGTGCTAGTTGGAAAAGAACCAATAAGAGAACAGCGATTCCACCAAATTCTAAGTGATTTTTATAAGCTCGAATAATATATAACATTTAAGCAGAAACTATAGAATCTTCATCTGTTATAATACTTTCCACCTTTAATAATCTTTGACAAAGGTTTTGATCATTATTTACGAGTGATTGTAAAAATGCTTCCTGAGATTTGTACATGATTCGGAATGAATTAATTCGCCACCAAATTTCAAGTTGATATACCTGATGGGGCCATTAAAAGAAAGTTTGCATTTTTCCTTTTAGAAATTCTACAATATTTTGGTAATATGTGATTTGTTAGTTCCTGCTGAACAAGAAAGGATATTGACGAGGCTGGCATTTTAGCAGGTGGTAGGAATATTATAACATGATATATAAAATTAATGTTCATTATTTGAAAATATGATATCGATTGCCATATCATTGTTTATTGCACCTTATTGTAATAAATCACTGGAAAAATAACTTGCTAATAAGACAGTTAAAAACTTTATTCTAAAATAAATAAATTATTACTTCCGCTTTAATTTAATTAAATTCTAGTATATTAAAATATAAAAAATTTTAGCGCTTCATTGTTTATATTAGTTTCATTAATTTTGTTGATTTCATTTTTTTTTGTCACCAAATCAGCATAATGATTTAATAAACAATCTATTCACGTTAAATTTAACCAAATCCATTAATTATTATTGAGTTTTATTTGGACACTAATTAGGCTAGTATATAAATTTCCAAATACATTAAATCCAACCATAATCATTTCTATCTTTATATAGTTTGTTTCTTTATGATTTTAAATTTATATTTTCAATATCTTTTCAATATTAATAATATATGTTAGTTGTTATTCTTTCGCAAGCATTAAAGACCACACACAATGAATTGACAATATTTCTACATTTGGTTGCATTATGATCTTTGCATTGAGCAATAAATTATAATTACTGAAGAAATCAATTTCCATGCCTTCTCGTGATGATATGAATTATAATTAAAATATTTTATAAATAAATGAAAATAGTTTAATTGCCAGAGTAAACATGGATTATTATACATTTATTCTATTTGCCACCATAAGTCTATTCTTTATAAAAAAGTATAAAAAAGGAGAAATTTAAATTTTTTCGGATTTTTCAAATATGAAAAATTACAGTAATTCGTAATAAATAAACTGATCTTTTAAGAAAATATTAAAAATTCTGCAATTTTAGCGAAAATAAAGCATTTAGCAAAAGTCTCTAGCCATTTTTGTGAAGTCTGATCTGAAACCTGGGAATGTAGATTTGGAATATACAAAAAAACCATGATTTATAAAGAAAAGCGTACCCTAATTCAAAAAAATATGAAGAGCAAGCAATAATGATTCAAGAAAAAACACATACCAACAAAGAAACTAATTCTAAAGACAAAACAAGAATATAAACCATAATACTTATTTATTTTAAATGTTCAATAAAGATTAAGGTTTAACATAGAGAATATCAGAGAATAATTATTAGTATTAATTTTTGTATTTATTATATAACTAGAATGGCGAATTCAGGTTAATAACCACCACCACCATTTTGATACAATAAAAATATTATGTAATTCTATTCATTTTTAAATATTTTTTTTAAAAATAAAATAATTAATAACAATATTTTATTCCTTCTTAAAATATATATGTTACTATGATTAGAGTAAACAATTATATTTTTTTGCACTAATATACAAATTATACAAATGTAATTATTTGTTATTATTTTTGTTATATTTCTAATGATAAATTTTCAAGATGCTAGTATTTTTTAACCATCTCTTGATCTACAATAAATGCAGATTTTGAAAGAGTAGGAATTTGAATGTTATCCCATGAAGGGCAACAACTTAAAGCAACATAAGCTTGACCAGGTGCAAAAATTTGATCATCTAAATTTATTGAAGTATCATTTAGTGTTAACC